CAGGCTAACACAAAGAACAAAGCCTTTACAGAAAGGCAGGGCAGCACAACACCAAGAAGAACCTAAAACCCACTTCCATCCCACAAGTCAATGTGTGCTTGTCGAATTCAGGAAGTGGGTTTTGCTGTTTCAAGTACACTTAATACCTGTTTGCTGCTGCCCTACAGAACATCACTGCATTCCCTCAGCCAAACAGTCAATTGTTTGTGTTGGAGCAGAGATGTTAACAGCCAACTTGTGCCTATCAGTCAGAACCTACTGAAAAAACACAGGGAAGCATCAGCAGTCTTCCAGCGAGGAGCTGCATGGCAAGACGCAGAGCTAGCAGGTGTTTTATAGAGACCATGGCAGGCTCAACAAGTTGAGCTTTCCCTTGCCACGATATGCAGTGGCAGAGGAGGCCAGCTACAGCCACCACTTGAAAAAACAAAAGGGAAATCAGCCAACTTCCTCAATTATTTTGGTACTAACAACGCAACATTTGCCACAGAAGAGTTCCTGGAGAGGATCGGAGCCAGGAAAGAGTCAGTACGGTTCCAGGAGAGGAGCACAACAGGACAAAAATCAGCGGCAGAAAGTCACTTGGGGAATGAAGACCTTGCTTTGGGGTTGCCGCCTCACTGAGTTCTTGGGTCAGTTTTGTTCGTGTGCTTTTAAACACAGTCCTTACCCCTAAGCTCAGGAGACAAGTTAGCTCCCGCCCGCCTCCGTAGGTGCCCATCGTTACCTACGGCAGGACGCGCACCTGGGGACAGGCAGCCGTGGGGCTGGAGTGCCACCTTCCGGCAAGCAGCAGGCAGCGCTGCCTCATCTCCTTGGAGCTGGGCAAGGCGAGCACACAGCCTCCTGCTGCTCCAGAGCCCCCACGCCATCCCTCTTGCTGCTTCTCCTTCCCATGTCCTCACCTAGTTCATGGACCAGAAGAGGCAAGAGAAATGACATGGCATAATCCCATGCAGGGACGAACAACGTGGCTTTTGGCAGGTTGGCTCTGGAGCAGAGGGGACAAGGACTACAGTTGCTCCTATGATCAGACAGCTCCCCAGATCTTCTCAGCAATGTGCCCTGGGTCAAGATCTGAGCACTTTATAAAAAAACCAAGCACAACAGTCACCTGTTGATCAACTCAAAACCACCCCAGAGGTCCAGAGGACATTCATGAAGGAGAAAGCTGGACTGTTTTTTAAATGCTTGATCCACCTCCTGGCACCAGCCATCTACACCCTGGCCACTCTCAGTGAGATGGTACCCAAGTGTTTAACAGGCCTTGATGGGCCTGTCTTGTGCGAGGTTATCCAACATCTCTAAGAAAGCAAAAAATGTAAGTACATACAAAGGCATCCAGCAGCAGTGAGTTTCAGAGCTGAACTGGACATGCTACAAAACATCTCCTTCCATTTTAAGCCAGACACACCTCCTACAATCCCACTCTGTTTTCAAAGTCTCTGTTTACAGCCCAATGCCTCTCTCTCAAGAGAGTCTGAGTGAACTCAAGTTTTCCTCCTGCAGAAGCCAGCCCTGCTCAAAACTTTCCGTATCTTTCTACCATTTTCTATTTCAATGCAGCCTGTACAGTTTTAGCACATGGACACATTCAGTTGAGTACAATTTCTTCTTCTGACCACCTGGTGCCTCGCTGGCCCTGAGCTGTCTACCAGGAGCAGTCTTTACCGTTTCCTGCTCAAGTTTCATTAACTACCCTAAAAGAAAGGGGTGGGAAATAGTCATGTTTAAAAGGCAAAGACAAATCACCCCATCACACCTATCTGTGTGCCCAGCCAGAGTGGAAGATCAAGTGGCACAGGCTTGTCCCAGTGTCACCCAGGGTAGGCGGGATGACACAGTACCTCTGCCGCTTGCACAGGCACAACGTCCCCAGCACCGCCAACATCCTTTGGCCAAACATCTCTGTGACGCTGCCCACGCACAAGCCTGGGTTAGATGAAGGCTACTGGCACAAGTATGCGCTGCCAGCCTCCAAACAGAGCTGTTCTCCACTCCAGCTATTTGGGACGTTCATGGGAAACTTCACACTGTCAGCAAGACAATAATCGCTGAAACTTTTGCCCCCTGCCCCAAACCAAGACCAACTACAATCCACAGGACAATTTCAGGGAACAAAACACGGCCTAAAAGGCAGCCTGAAAAGTTGTATCTAGTCTACCCTCTTTTCTACTAGCCCTGTCACTAAACATATTAGGATTATCAACAGAAGATATTAAGACCTACTGGGCAAAACCAGCACCCTCTCCAAACTCCTTGTGTTTCACTGTCCTCATTCTTCTGTTTTAACTTGTCTGTAGTGTCATTAGAAGTTATTGGAGCTTCTAATACACTAATAGTGACTACCACCTTGGACCAGTTGAAGCTGATGACACCTTCTCTTTTCATCAATACTCCATTGGTGTGGTAAGTGCAGACCCAGAGGAGACCCCTCCATCAGTGGTGCAGCAGAACCACGCCAAAACACAACTGAACACTTAAGACCTCCTTGCGGAAAAGGCTCCGCAAGAGAGCGGAGAAACTTCATGTACAAAACCAGCTTTTCTCCTGCTTTACCTTTTGCCTTCCTCCCTCTAGGCAGCACTGCAGACAGTGGCATTAAAGCAAATCTTGTGGGTAAAAAGGAAAAGAAGAGATGAGAGTGAAGACAACTCAAGGGAAAAACATCCTGTGCGGAATGAGACCAATACATTCCAGAAGAGATTACGCAGTAGACAAGAGATACAGATATCTGCACAGAACTGTTTTGTTATAGAGAACTCATCAAAATCAGAGAGACAGAAGCAGAACAAGATCAAAGTTAAATCCAGTTGAGGGCAAAACACCAGTTTTAAAGTTAAGTCATTCAAACAGCTGTGAGAACCGGCCTATCAGATTACATGAGATGTTTAAGGTCTCCTGCACAACTTGAGCTGGATGTAGACACTGGATAAAGGTCAGCAGGACTGGTGTAACAGGAAACTGTATTTCCACAGCCATTCACGGCCCTCCTACCAAGTCATGCAGTGTGTAATCAGGGCAGGCATGGTCTGAGACCTTTCAGTTCATCTTTTCCACACACCGGATTTCAAAGTGAGACTGTTAGGGAACAGCAAAGTTTTAAAGTCTGCAAGATACTCGTGTGTCCTGCCCAGACTATTGCCTTTAAAAAAAATGACAGAAGCTAAAAGAAGAGACCATTAGTGATTACTATCCATAGAGACTAGACATTTCCATAAACCTGTAGGGAAGCAAAGGGAAAGCATCAGTGGAGGACAAACTACCTAATATTGTCAGGCTCAAACAGTACTGATGTCTTTACAGCAAATTATAGATGGGAAAAAAAGGTATTTTGAAAGTTAACTTAATTATTTTAAGTTTGAGAGAATAGAAGAGATTGTTCCATACAACTAAGACAATGAACTAGAAACCGCTTCATCCATTGCAAACACTGCTGCAAAACAAGGGCTTGGTAATGTCTTGCTGATGTCTTGCTCCACATCTGTAGCGAGATACCAAACTCAATGATTTTTAGTGACAGGCATATAAGAAAAAACTATTTCTTAGAAAACAGGAAAGGCTTAAAAGACAGGCAGCTTTAGCACAGTGACCCAGAAAATAACAGATATTAACCACTGGGTTAGAAAAATGAGATAGTGTTACTGTCCAGATATAGAAAGGACAGAACAGGAAGGAATACAGCAGAGAGACAGGTCTTTAATCAATATTTGCACACGCAGGAGATGCCACAGATAGGCCAAAATTTAAAGTCTTTCAATAGACCACAAAGGCCTTTCCACATCAGCCTGCACCATTCAAAAACCTCTAGGTGACAAGCAAGATAACGCACACACAACTGACAAAAATGCAAGATTAAACACCAATTGCCAGAGTGCCTGTGAGGAGCCCAAAGCTCACTATTAAATAAATGAATGCTGATGTACCAGCTATCTGACTTGAGAACAGAGTACAATCTTCTTCTCAGAGATGCAAGTTAAAGTAATGTTCTACTGAACCAGAAATTCACTTTTGTCCATGACGTATCTCCTTACTGGTTAAAGAAATCCACTGGCTATGCAGTTTTCAAGTCAAACTAGAGCTTACAGGAACATAAGACTAATGAAAGGAAAAAAGGCAACTTTACTTCCGTGTTTCAGATGCAAACTAGCACAACTGGTATCTCACCAAGGCTAGCAATTTCATTTTACTACTGATTAAAACAAGAGCAGCATGCAGGGAAGCAGAGCAGTGTGCAAAACCGCTAGGAGAAGACACTTGCATGAACGCTGTGCTATTTCAAGCTTTTCACATCAGCTGAACCTGCTGTGGAAGTGCACACGCCCCATGTCTTTTCATGCACTGACAGAGACATAATGAGGCTGCTGCAGCTCCATCTTTCCCTGCTGCATACTCTACGCCCTCCCTTCCCCTAGTGCTGCTGTTCGCTGGATCCCACTGAGCTGGCTGAGTAAAACAGATCAGTCAAAGGTTAATCCCAAAAGGGAAAAGTTGTTCGATTTTTGGCCAGCTCAACTCCCTGAACCAGTGTGTGACGGGGTCAGAGGAAGGCCTACGGCCCCTGGGGTGGGATGACAGGATCACAGCAGCCCTGACGAAGGCTGATCAACCTTGGTGGGTCAGAACTAGCAAGCAATTGCTGTCATGCACATGCATGGCATGCATATGTTTTGCAGCAGGATCACATTTTAAAAATGCCAGGAACATTTAACACAAGGGTAAATAACAGCTCTAATAGAGACTGAACCAGTTCTGCAATGGAAGGCAGCTAAGGAGCTGTGCCAATGAAGCACGCACATCCTGGGAGCCAGAACCCCTTAACAACATAGTGATACCGTGCTGCTGGTTTGAGACCTCCAGATACAACCAAATCAGTTTCATTCAAGAAGCTGCAGAAGACATAGCAGCTGCAGGGAGGGCTGAGTGTGCAAAGCTGGTCTGAAAGCCCTCAAGAACACCACCAACATTTCAAATGCTGTTCATGAACAGCTGGTACTCACGTGATGAAGTCCAGAAAACTCGCTAGGGGCTCATATGCATGGTTCCTCATGTGACGAAACTCCACCACCATCTTCTCCTTCAGCTTGTCATCTATGACGGAGACGGTGAGCGGGGAGGCTTCGTTGGCCAGGAAGTTCCCATAGTCTGTGCTCTGGAGGTGCAGTTTCAAGTCTGAAAAAGAAAAAATAATTCCACTCTACAGGGTTTGTGTTGGGTTTGGGGGTTTTTTTGAGCATACCTAAGACAGCTGTTGCTCAGCACTTCTCTAGGTATTCTCTTCCCGGAAAGACCACCTAGACAAAACCCATGTGTTAAGTAATACACTTATATTTCTGCTCAGTTTTATTATGGACAACCCAAATGCAGGAAAAGATCAGTGTTTCACCACACCAGCCTTGCCCCATCTTAAAGAGGAAACTGTGACACTATCTGCGTAACTGAGCGCACACCTGTTCCAGCTGTCCACTGTGCTTGATCAAGGTGGAAGGCTACTGATTTTCTAGGAAGTATTTGCTAGAAATCTAGAAAAAAAAAAAAAAGAAACAACTTAAGCACTTTCTCTAGCCAAAAGGGCTCTGGTTGCAGGCTTCTCTGAAGCAATCATGACCAAGAACCTACCTGCACCCACAAGCAAGCTTCCTCAGATACTAGTGATGTGGAAGCATCTGAAAAGCTTTCAAAGCCAAAAAGACACAAACAGCAACCTTGAAATTATAAAGCAGCTAGGTATTACATCATCAAGTCAGTCGAACTAATTGCACTGGTAAAGAAAACTCAGGCATTAAGAGGTAGAGAAGGGCTGGTGAAGAGGAAGGCCATTTAAATCCATCTCGTATGGTAGGCAACCCCTGCCCAGGATGGAGGAACATGCTCAGAAGCCTTCCCCTCCTCCAGTTTCCAGCAGAGGAAACCTTTGTTTCCTCTGTTACCCTCGCTGCAGGTCAGGTGCCCAACCAAGCTGCGGTCCTGGCCAAGAAGCAACCACAACATGCTGAGCTCTGTCAAGATAAAAGCCCTATTTGAGCCAAAAGCATTTAAGTGTCTCTATGGAAAAACTGAATCCAGAACTGAGGAACGTCATATAATCCTAGTCCTCAAAGCTCTACTAGTTGCACTAGTACATAATGTTCATCTCCCTTCAGCTTCACCTCAGAGGGACAGTTAGGCAAGCACCCTCCTAGGGATTCAAGACCTTTATGGGGAAAGGAAAGTAGCTGGAAGAGTTTAGTCAAAACAGATGTGAACACACCATCCAGAGAAAACAAAAAAAAAAAAAAAAAAAAAAAAAAAAAAAAAAGAGACAGACATTTCTCCCTGGATTCTTTGAAGCAGGAGCACTGAGGCTGCCTTTCCCTTCCACTGAACCGTACGAGTCCTCAGCATTACGGCACAAGCATCCACAGCACCGAGGTCAGAGCAAGGACTCAGCCTAGCTTGAGGAGTTTGATCTTTTGACATTACACCCAGCTCCAGGCATGAGCTGGAGAGCATCCTCCACACTGGGCTCCAAACTAGGCTTGTACTGTACAGTGCGATACTGTCCTCAGCCCAAGGGGTGGAAGGGTCAAACTGCTTTCAAGCTGACTTTAACTCTTCTGGGTATTTCCAAGGGGGTCTAGCAAAGATGTTTTTCACCCAGCACTTCTTAGTTAAAGACATTACCACTGCTAAGTCTCACAGGAAACAGATGGTGATTATAGAGGGAGGAAAAAAAAGGCCAGAGACTTAAATAGCGCTCAGCTGCTGTCAAGTTCCTCAGCAGTTTACATGAGAATTTGGTGGTACTCTTACTTTTAGTAAGGAGTCCTGGATGCAGCAAAGAGAGCTACTTGCCCGACAACATGCATCATGGCTGACGCAAAGCAGAAACTTAACGTAGATCTCTGCTCCCCAGACTATGCTGCAGCTAAACAGCTGTGTTTTATTCTAACAAAACATTAACTAATGCTCACACTTTTGAGGTGGGAAAACACAGTCCAGATAAACTCCACTGTCTTGAGTTTCAACATGACCCTTGTCAAAGTCAAACATCGGATCATGCCAAAACTCAGAATGCCCCTCGCCTCCACGCAGCCTGCATAGGATTGTTATTGATGATAATCACTTCCTAAACCCTGCAAAAAGCCCAGCTCACAGGCAGCACCCTGCATGCAAAGAGTTCTCATCCGTTTCACAATTGCTTGATTTTTAAAAGCTAAGGTATAGTTACAGAGGGGAAATCTACCAGAATTACATCTTAATGAGTTTCAGTCCCTCTTCTGAAAGCTCTTGGATGATGAGCTTTGGAATCCACGTGAAAATTAAGTTCCACTGTCAGATCAGGGCTTTACTAGTTTGCTTTTAGCGGAGGCTGGAGAAAGCATGGAGCAAAATTCAGCAGTTGCTCAAAGAATATCAGAGAAAGGGTCCTGGTAAGAGTATTGCACCCATAAAATCAGACTACAAGGGAAGGCAGAGGGGACTGCAGTAGCTACATTCATATACCTCCTACTTTCAGTTCTCTGTAATTGTGCAGAGCTCTAATGAAAACTAAGCCCAAAAAGGCATGTGATGTTGTATTGCAGCTATACAGGACCTTGGAGAGGAAGCAGCTATTGCATATCCTACCATGTCTTACTTCAGTAGGGAAGCTTCCAAAGCCTTCATCTTGTTTCCTCAACTCCAACTCTGCCACAGCAAAACCATCGGTTTCTTTTGGTATCACCATGACCTGCAACTCTGCTCTTACTTTTGAGGCTGCAAGAAGCCACCTTGCTATTAGGTCTTTTGATGCTAGAGACCCAGTAACACAAAAAGTAGAGTCTGCTGTACCATCCACTTCCAGGAGGTCGGAGCTGCATCGCATTTAGACCAGAGCCACACAAGCTGCACGCTGTGCCTTGCAGCCTCTCCCTCAACAGCTCTGAGGAAGCCCCCATGAGCCGCTTGGCCTGAGCATTTTGTCCTGCTCAACGAGGGGGTTGCCCCCCCCAACTCCACAGCACAAGAGCCAGCACAACATTATGTTGCAACTGGAATAAGGGCCATGTTTATATAACACTTGGAATTAATTTTTACAGGGAAGGCCAGCCACAAACTGCAGGAACTAAACTCTTCTGAATCTCTTAGCATCCAAGCAGACAGAACAGAACATATTTTCCAAAAATTGGACTGGATTTATAAACCCTGACTCAATGTGTCCCACGGCGTACTAGCGCCTTACACGAGCCTGTCCTCCTCCAGCCGCTGGGCTGGTCACTGAGCCTCAGCCTGGGGGGGCTGAGAGTTTTTAATAAGACTATTCACACGTCAGGCTTCTCAGTTAAGAATGAACTAATCCTGTGGTTTCACAAATCCCCTGCCAGAAGAGCTGTCCCCATAGCGCGGTGACTAATAAGTGGACCCACTGCTGAGCAAGCCCCACACTCCCCAAAAGTTCAAGTGCCTATTTCCTAACACAAGTTCAAACCAAGTTGGAGTCGGCCTCTGGCAGCAACTGCAGCACCTCGGCAGGGGCGGCTGCCAGAGATCCCACACGCTGCATGTCGACGAGACGTCGGCTGCAAGTCTTCCGCCGTGCCTCTTCCCCAGCTGCGTGCCGAAAGGGAGAGAGACCTGCACCTAGAGCCCAGCTGCTCCTGCTGAGCTCCTCCAGATGCTGACTAACAGCAGCACGCGGCCTCAACCCAGCCATTGCTTTTGAGAGGTACGTTTGCCTGTTTCGGCATTTTTCCAAGCGGTTCACACACTTTAAGAAACAGACTGAGCCAGCATTTGGCAAGGGAGTGCTTGAATTACCACAATGCTTTTGTTCTCTCTCCTCCCCCGCAAAAGCTGGTAAATTATGGCCAGGTCACAGTTCCCAGAAAGCTGCCTCGTGCAAGAACACAACAGCTTGTCAGAATGACAGCCTTTTTCTGCTGAGTATTCAAGTAGGGTAGTGCTCAAGATTACCATGACATGTACTTACAGCAACCTCCTTTCAGCTCTCAGATCAGGCCCTCTGGTTTCGATGCAGCTGGCTGTACCTGAGGCATAAACACAACTGAAGCTTAATTCAACACACCGCTGTGCCAACACCTCACCTCGACATTTCAGATGACATTTTCTTGAGAGACTTCAGATCCACAGTAATACTACCATCCTCTCCTGCAAGTTTGCTTTGCAATAACAAGGAATCAAGCCACTACTCAGTCTTTCAGACATTTGTCAGTCAAAGCCTGTCCCGTAAGCCCTACTCAGACAGAGTGACCCACGGCTCCACCAGCTCATACTTCCCCCCCTTCCTTCTTCAGCATTCCCCCGTAACTTGATTCAGAGCTCTGCAATGCAGTTAAGGGCTCAAGCACTTCCAGGCAAGGGCTGATTTATCTTCTCACGCACAGGCACGGAATTAGCTTTTGCAACTTCCGAGCTGAACTGATGTTTTCACACAATTATCTGCTGTAACCCCGACATCTCACTCCAAAGGACCCGGGGACATCACTGCATATATAAAAATTAAAATATCATTTGCCATCTCCCAGGCCTGAGGCAGTGAAGCAGCTGAAGGATTACACAGCAGTCTGCAGATCAGCTACATCACCCACAACTTGCATCAGAAGACTCCAGTCATTACCATTTGGCTTGTTGCTGTCCGTTTGGTCTATTTATGGCCGCCTCAGGCATTCCTGAAGCTGCTTCTCTGAAATCTCACCTGAGAAGCACCCAGAGACCCTTCATTCTCCGCAGAATTTAAGACCTTTTCTGTGGTTGCACACCACCAGCAGTGATGTGCCACCTCTCCTCTGCTGTCAGGCAGCAAATTCCTCTGGGCCACAGCTGGACACAGAGAAGTGTCTTCTTTGGCCCTTTTCCTCATCAGTGTCTCAGCTCTAGCTCTTCACCTCTCTGTTTGAGATGTCCTCAGCACCAAACAGCAGCCTGTGTTTCTGGCCCAGCTCTTCCTGGGGTTGAACTCACCCCCCTCAGAACTTCAAACCCAGCATGGCCAGGTCTTGTTTCCTTTGGAGCCCCTCAACCAGATAGCCCTCTCCTGATCCTTCCAAAAGGTGAGGTAACACCTCCTAATCTGCCTGCATCTCCAGTAAGCTTCACCCCTACGTATCCTTTTTTCCCCCTCTCTAAAAGCAGACCGCATTAAGTCATGGCTGTAACCTTGAAGGTCCAGTACACTAACAGGACATCAGCCTGG